TCTCTCCCTTCTCCCACCCCGCCACCCCCATGCATGGCTCACGTTTGGAAACAGAGTTCAATCAGAAGCCACCCTCAGCTGCAGTTTTTACCCCCTCCTTGAGGGGGGTATGTGTGTGTGTGTGTGCGTGTGCGCGTGTGTGTGACACGAGGGTCGGCTGAACTAGGAAGTGAAGATGTTAACCTAAGGGTAAAAACAAAAGATTTTTTTCGGGGGAGGGCGTTACCCTTTGGAGGAATTTAGGAGTGAATCGTGATGGGTGTCGGGAGGGGCAGGTGTCTGCACGGTCGGGGGGCTGCTCTGGAGCCCCCCTCACGGGTGGGCGGCCCGTCCACCGTGGGAGCTGCCGAGGGGCACACGAGGTGGGCGAGCGTTTCCCCCTTTCTCGGTTCTTTGACCGGCCTGGTAAATCCAGAGCTTCTGTTCAGTTTCTCTCATCGCTGGGGTGCTGACCGCCGTCCCGGGGGGGCAGACCTGTGCCCAGCCCCGGGGGCCTGTTGCTCGTAGAGTTATTTGTGGTCGTTGACGCCCAGGTCTTTGTTGGGCAAAAACAAACTGAAAATCGCTTGAACGTCCACTGGCAGAATGTGGAGACAGAGAAGGACGGCCATGGGCCCGAGCACGCGCGGCGCCCTCGCAGAGTCATCTGCAGACGGGGCGGTCCGGGCGGCACACGGCGGCCTTCAGACCTGTCGTCTCCCTTCGGTCAGTCACAGTTGGAGTGGCAGGGGTTCTCCCTTTGCCAAAGGGAGTGCCAGAGTGCAGAGTCGCTGCTGTTTTCTGTCAAGTGGGAAGTTGTCACCGGTCCGACAGCATGCTATGTGTGCCAGCGTGGCCGGGCTGGCGCAGGGCGTTGGGCTGGAGAGTCGGTCCAGCCTCACAGTGGCCAGCAAACGAGGCAGAGAAGACTTCGGGAACTGTTTCTGTTCTGCTTCTAGGCGCGTATGTCCAGCACCTTCCCACACGGGTCACCCGCACCCGCCAGGGAGGCGGCAGGCACTCACCTGCGCAGCCCACCTCTGCTCCTCCGTGCAGGAAACTGGAAAGGTGGCTGGAGCCCAGGACCTAGGACACAGGGCACTTCGTCTGCCATGCGAGGGGGCCATGCGGGGGGCTAGCAGAGCCAGCTCACACGTCCCCGAACCACCGAACCCCCGTGACATGCGAAAGGTGCCCTCAGTCTTACGCGAACCCCACACACACCCCAGGGGTGTGGCGACTGCTGTCGCTCAATGCAGATGCGCCGACATCTCTTTCCTGCTG